TTTTTTTGAATAAATAATTCACACAACAGGGTCAGCGTACAGTTAGAGCCGGCAAAGAACGCCATGCTGAGTGGAAGTGGGAAAATTACAAGATGTAGACCGCTACTACAACAGCACTACAAAATATATTTGGTTGCTGCGGACAAATCGGCTAATGTGGTTGGTTGTTTTTCAGTCAAGCCTTAAATAACTTCACCCTCACCGACTTACTTTTGACTTTGGCTGTTTAAGAGCCATCTCTGTTCAACTTCCCGGGTTTGCAACATGAACGTCCCTACGTGTACTTCGTGACGATTGCGTGACTTTTGCGCAACTTGCCTGGTCCCGAGGAGGGGTAGGCTCATCGCTCCTTGCTAAGTGGGGGAAGGGTAGGAAAGGAACCTACAGCTATGGAAGCAAGACTTGATCAAAAGTTTAATAGCAGTATTGCAGTAGCATATTTTGTATGCAGATGATGCTGCTCTCTTTTGTGACGCATCAACTTCAAATTGCTCAGGAACGTGAATGCACTGAAATCAGTAACTGGTACACTGATAACAGGTTGACTATAAATGTCAAGAAGACCAAAATTATGCTGGCAGGCAGTAAAAGGATGCTATCCTTATATGAAGACTTTGAGTTGCAACCAAATGCATATCAGATCTTTTGTTTTGACGTGTCCTCGTTTCCGTCACTGTCGTGGTTGCAAGGGGCAGGTGCCCTGCACAGTGCACGCTGCTAAGATAGGCAAAGCTGGCTGAGGCCGACATTTATGCTGGTGACAAAACGAAAAACGGCATCCTGCTTTTATTCACCACCGATGTCAATATTTACAATCGTCCTTGTTCTTTTCATGTTCTCATTTGACGATCAAATGGGGATATATATATATATTTTTTATGTTGATAACCCAAGTTCGTGACCAGACGAAAAAAAACACCCTTTATCTTTCTTACATTCATGTTTGTTGATATTTAGGACACCTATTTAAAGTTTAAATTTACTCATATTTAACTTATATATATATATATATCTATTATTTTGGATATAATTCATGATGTAATTCTTTTTCTAACTATTAATTAAGCAATTCCACCAGTCTCCTTATTTATTTGTTGAATGATTTACACGACTAGATAAATTTTCCTCTGAATGTGTAAATAACTAGTATATTTATCTTTAAATTTCTTTAGGTTAAGTAACTTGTATATTTAGTATATAAGTAGTGTCCCCAATTAGTTTTTACACTTGTAAAGCTAAATACATTGACACTTGAATAAAGTTTTCTTCTTCTTTCTTTACTGATACC